GATGGATAGGATGGATAGGATGGATAGGATGGATAGGATGGATAGGATGGATGGATAGGATGGATGGGATGGATGGGATGGATGGGGTGGATGGGTGGATGGGTGGATTGGTGGATGGGTGGATGGGATGGATGGGGTGGATGGGTGGATGGGTGGATGGGTGGGTGGATGGGTGGATGGATGGATGGGTGGATGGGTGGACGGATGGATGGATGGATGGATGGATAGGATGGATGGATAGGATGGATAGGATGGATAGGATGGATAGGATGGATAGGATGGATAGGATGGATAGGATGGATAGGATGGATAGGATGGATAGGATGGATAGGATGGACGGATGGGTGGGTGGATGGGTGGATGGGTGGATGGGTGGACGGATGGACGGATGGATGGATGGATGGATGGATGGATGGATAGGATGGATAGGATGGATAGGATGGATGGATGGATGGATGGGTGGATGGATAGATAGATAGAGACACAGAAATTACATTCCAATATGAAACACGATCCACACACGTGTGGCACTCATAAAGGGGGCACCACTCTACTCAAATGCGCATTGAATTGCGTGCACATTTAATTAGAGTTAACTACCCATGCAAGTTTCATGAGTACTTCCCGTAGTTCTATATAAGTCGAATCTGCGTCCGTTCACCACGCATGCGTGTCCTGCAGTTGGCCAGATCGCCGTCAGAAACATGTATTGGAGACTCGCTTTCATTTCTTTGGCCTGCCTCATTTATTTAACAGGTAATGTATGACTGATTTTTTTCACGTCCTAACTTTTAATCAAACAAAAGTTAAGTAAGTATCATACTTATATCATTGTCCATGTATTTAAACACAACATTGTTTTTCACATTTTGTTACCAGAGTCGGAGTCTGATTTTTTTTGCAGGAGGGTACAGCTTTTCCGATAGAATCTGTGTAGCTTACATTGACCTGGTTTTCTAAAACCGGCTTTTATAAAAATTTGGACTAAAATAGTAAAGTTCATAGTCACATAAAGCTAAAAAATAATAATATTAAACTCATGAAGCAGTAGCTTGGTATCGCATTTGTAGCTAGACTGCTGACCCATAGAACAAGACATTGGTAGCTAGACTGGCGACCCATAGAACAAGACATTGGTAGCTAGACTGGCAACCCATAGAACAAGACATTGGTTGCAGGGCTGACGAATCATAGATAAGGCATTTGTAGCAGGACTGACGAGTCATAGAACAAGACATTCGTAGCAGGGCTGACGAATCATAGATAAGGTATTTGTAGCAGGACTGACGAGTCATAGAACAAGACATTGGTAGCAGGACTGAAGAGTCATAGACAAAGAAAATTGTAGCAGGACTGATGACCCATCGAACGACATTGGTATCAGGTCTGATGACTCATAATAATAGACAGTTGTAGAAGGACTGAAGATTCAAAGAACATAGAACAAGACATTGGTAGCAGGACTGAAGACTCATAGAACAAGACATTGGTAGCAGGACTGATGACCCATGGAACTAGACATTTGGAGCATGTATCTCAGTCTACGTAGCCTTAAAGATCTCCTGGCTCCCAATCTTCACTCAATCTCCGCCTCCAAATATTCCGACGTATGCTGAAGAAATCTCGTTTTATCCACAGACGCCTTCGGTAGATACAGACCCTACAGAACTCGTCTAAGGCAATGTCTCGCGCGAGAGAAAGCGCTATACAATGAAAGAACGCAGTACCTAACCCAAATCTCGGCAGTGAGAGACGAACTATGGAAGATCAATGAAGCAAGGGGCAATCTTTTCCACGGGGCGCTACATTACGGCGGTCATCGATATTACGCTTCAAAATTTCAGTTCGAGACTGTGGAGACGGCTCAAGCGATCTGTCAGTCGACCGGTGGGTACCTGGTTGAGCTGAACAATGCCGGCGAGTACTACGCCTTCAGAAATTACATCATCGGGCTCCAATTAAGGGCAGAGAGCGTTCTTTTGGGGGGCACGGACCAGGCACACGAGGGCACATGGGTTTTCCAGCACAGCGGGAGGTACATACCTTATTTTGATTGGATCGCAGGTGAACCCAACAACTGGAATAATGAGGACTGCATGTCGCTGTGGTTGTCCAGAGGTGCGCGGATGAATGACATCCACTGCTGGAGGGTTGGTCCAGTTGTTCACTTTGCCTGCGAGGTGCCTAGCTCGGCTGATTGGTAAACGATTATGAATTAAACCAATCCGAAATGAACAGGTCTTGTTTTTCAGTAATTGTTTCATTGTTTTGTAGTTGAAATGGCAATGGTGTAAATTAATTGTTTTTTGTTTACAATTTAAATAAAAGTGAACAATGGAGGAGGGTCATGTAACTGCACACATTGGCACGTTATCGCAGCAGAAGTTATATGTAACATGTTTTCACAGCAGAAGGTCTATGTAACATGTTATCACAGCAGAAGGTCTATGTAACATGTTATCGCTGCAGAAGGTCTATATGACAATTAGTAACATGTTATCACAGCAGAAGGTGTATGTAACATGTTATCGCAGCAGAAGGTCTATGTAACATGTTATCGCTGCAGAAGGTCTATGTAACATGTTATCGCAGCAGAAGGTCTATGTAACAATTAGTAACATGTTATCACAGCAGAAGGTCTATGTAATATGTTATCACAGCAGAAAGTCTATGTAACATGTTATTGCTGCAGAAGGTCTATGTAAATGTTTTCGCAGCAGAAGGTCTATGTAACATGGTATCCCAGCAGAAGGTCTATGTAACAATTAGTAACATGTTATCACAGCAGAAGGTCTATGTAATATGTTATCACAGCAGAAGGTGGTGGTGTCGGTGATGGTGGTGTCGGTGGTGGTGGTGGTGGTGTCGGTGGTGGTGTTGGTGGTGGTGGTGGTGGTGGTGGTGGTGGTGGCGCTGGTGGTGGCGGTGGTGCTGGCGGTGGTGGTGGTGGTGGTGGTGGTGGTGGTGGTGGTGGCGGTGGTGGTGGTGGTGGTGGTGGTGGTGTCGGTGGTGGTGGTGTCTGTGGTGGTGGTGTCTGTGGTGGTGGTGTCTGTGGTGGTGGTGTCTGTGGTGGTGGTGTCTGTGGTGGTGGTGGTGGTGGTGGTGGTGATGGTGGCGCTGGTGGTGGTGTTGGTGGTGTCGGTGGTGGTGGTGTCTGTGGTGGTGGTGTCGGTGGTGCTGGTGGTGGTGGTGGCTAAAATTTGGCGGTAGACATTATTACACCCCCTTTTACTTTACTTGGTAGGATATTTGTTAGAAAGTCTGTCCAGATCTAATTGGATTGATAGTTGTTTGAGAGATAGAGATCTAACCGTTATGATCGTTGTCAGATAGTCTTTCTATATATACTTGAAATGGCACTTGTTAGATAGTCTGTCCAGTTCTACTTAGTATGACAGCTGTTAGATAGTCTGTCCAGTTCGACTTAGTATGACAGGTGTTAGATAGTCTGTCCAGTTCTACTTAGTATGACAGCTGTTAGATAGTCTGTCCAGTTTTACTTAGTATGACAGCTGTTAGATAGTCTGTCCAGTTCTACTTAGTATGACAGCTGTTAGATAGTCTGTCCAGTTCTACTTAGTATGACAGCTGTTAGATAGTCTGTCCAGTTCTACTTAGTATGACAGCTGTTAGATAGTCTGTCCATATATGCTTAGTATGACAGCTGTTAAATAGTCTGTCCAGATCTACTTAGTATGACAGTTGTCAAAGTAACTGTCCAGATGCATTACACTTTTAGAAGAATTCCCTCTAAACAATAATATCTTATACGGAGTGTCAACAAACATGCGCTAGTCAGTGATAATTTTTTTTAAAGTCACCCTACAAAATGATTGGTTAGATATACGTGTTACATGTCGTGGGTTCGATCCCCATTCAAGTTAATTTTTTTTTTTTTAATGCCTAACCCGTGTCTATAATAAAAATAAGATGCAAAAGTCGAGCCACTTTGTAAAACACTCAAATTACAACTCATCTTGGAAGTGGCTAAACCCACCAGACGTAGCAACCCAAGTAACAGTTCGTTCCGTCACAATGAATGACTAAACATTTACAGAAAACATCGATTTACAAACTCTCTCTACGTCATTAGAAATTGAAGGACCTTTTTTTTCCCTGGGGAAATTGCATGCGATCTATCGTATCTCCGATCTATCATCTCTCTGATCTATCGTCTCTCCGATCTATCGTCTCTCTGATCTATCGGTCTCTCCGATCTATCGTCTCTCTGATCTATCGTCTCTCCGATCTATCGTCTCTCTGATCTATCGTCTCTCCGATCTATCGTCTCTCCGATCTATCGTCTCTCTGATCTATCGTCTCTCCGATCTATCGTCTCTCTGATCTATCGTCTCTCTGATCTATCGTCTCTCTGATCTATCGTCTCTCCGATCTATCGTCTCCTTTGATCTATCGTCTCTCCGATCTATTGTCTCTCTGATCTATCGTCTCTC